TTGTCTTCCCAGTTGACAGTACTGTTATTTATATTAAAGTACAGTACAATGTTACATGAAATGACTGGGATGCCCCTGATTAGTGATGGGACACCCAGATAACTTAAAACACTAAACAGACTTAGGCCCATTAACACAGGCCCAATACATAACAACTTAAACTCAAATACAGGCTAATAAGAACTCTTATCAGCTGAACCATCCATACATACAAAACCTTCAACCTAACAGTTAAAAAAATATACAAATGGAGATGAGTTTTTCACAAAATTTTCCAGGTTGTGGCATCTGGAGTGGATGAGCGCACTCTCAAGCGTGAGGGGGTCTGTGCTGCATCTTTACCAACTACCATGGTAAGGAAATTAGATTCTTTATTTAGAAATGCTCTTTTCTCTATGATTGGTTTCATTGTACTTTTATGGTTCTCTATAAGCAGTATTTTTTATTGATGTAGTGCAAAATAGAACAACCATTGAAAAAAAGCTGTATGAACTCAGAACAAGAAATATAGGGAATACAAGCAACAAATATCACCCAAGAATAACTGTAGTGAATTTACAGGGACTGTAACACTGCAATTGAACCAGCAGATGGTCCAAGGAGAACTTCAACATTTATGTAATAGTGTTTAGCAGAAACTTAAGAAAGTAAGGGTAAATTTTAAAGGAAAAATTACCTAATTTTTTCTTAAAAATCATAAGCTTCAACATCTTGAATTAATGACTCAATTCGTTAACTCAAAACTCTAAAATTAATAACTCTTGGTCCTATTGGAATTACATGTTTCAACATGGGCTAGAGTTCCATTTAATAATGATGCAACCACATGAACAAAAAACCTTAGGAAAGCAAAAACAATTTAAGAGATTCTGATGTAGGTCCAACAATGGCTGCCACACCATGGAGGTGGCCCAATGATACCATGCATTACAACTGCTTACATAAATTCCATTTAGTTAGTTTTAAATGCTAATTAGGGGTTACATAACTCCATTCTTGAATTATAGTTTGTCTTTTGTTATTCCATTTCTAGTAAATCTCAAACCTACTTTTTATATGAAATTGTTTCGTATTATTTTACTAAATTCTTTATTTGAGCAACGATTTTTTTTTTTCGCATTAGAAAGTAAAAGAGCCAACAGTCAAGGTGTTAGTTTTATTAAAGTTAGAGTTCTTTTGTACTGTTCTGCTTAATTTTAGAGTAATAAGTATTTATTCTTAGAGATGGATGTCGGTCCTCTTCATGTTCTTGTATTTTTAATCATTTAATTTGATTAGAAAGAAACCTCCTGTACCATTGCTGTTAAAGATATTCATCAGTTGGAGGTAAGGGACTTCCATGGCCCAGGTACTGATGCAGTGGTTCTTAGAACCATCACTTTTTTTTTGATATTGAAAGAGCATTCTGCTATTGGTTCCAGGAAGGCTACACTATTTTTCATCTTTCTCTTGTTTTGGTCCTTGCTTTTTATTGCTAGGAATCTGTGTACATATTTGTCTGCCCATCCACTTTTAGTCTCTTACATCACTGTTCAATCCTTTAAGTCTCCATTAAAGCAACAGCTAGTCCCATCCATATATTCCCAAATCCTTAGGCCTGTATCTCCTTCAGTAATTACAGTTAGTTAGTCTTGTTATTCTATCAGTTCAACACGTTTCGGTTGACTGATTAGTTATGTAATGCAGCTGCATTCATGCAGCCCTAATCCCTAGTTATTTTCAGTTACAACCAATGGAAACCGTCAAGCATCAACCTGCGGCTATCACAGGTCCCTCTCAACAGTAACCCTGGTTTCTATTTAGCTAGATGTTATTGGTTTATTCTGTTAGGGAAACTATTTGAATCCCCTTATTGGATGTCTCCCTCCCAGCAAAAGTTGGAAGTTAGCAATAGTTAAAAACTCCCAATAAACTTAGAAGGTAGAACCTGTATTTCATAAACTACCAATAACTTGGAAAATAAATAAAGAGATTGCTTAGAGTTGAAATTGAATTGACCTTGTACTACTGTGTGGGATGAAGAAAACAACTTCATTGTAGACATATAAAAGGTTGATTACTTGTCTTTCTTCCCTCCTATCCATCCAATGCCAGACTCTGGACTTATAAATGCCTTTCCAGATCAAATTGAATTGGAGGATCAAATAAACCTCCTTTCTCACTTATCTTTTGCATTATAACCTTTCTACTTACTGTACACTAGTATTTCTTTGGCCTATAATTGAAACTTTCATTGTGTTTAATTGTTGTAATCTAAATTTTACTTCTTTTCAGCTTCCAAAAAAATCTACTTCTTTCCTCTTTACCCACTGAAACAATGCTTTGTCTAACAATTTTAGAGCACCTTTATTATCATTTAAGGTGAATGCTAGTAAACAACAATTTTATGCAACTCTGAGATTTCCTTTCCCTTCAAATATGAATATCATGACTAGTTACATTAAACAGATTGTGCTGTTCAGTTTATCACTACACATATAATTATTAAGCATGTATAATATGACAGGAAATACATAGGTATTAGTTTCTTTTTTCTTATCTTATTCATTAATTTTCATATGATATTTACTTAATACATGTTTTTTTCGTGAGAAGATAACTGAAAACAGGCGTTTTAACCAAATTTATATGTATGTTGGCTTGAATTGACTTCATAGGGTGTTGTTGCTGGTCTTCTAGTTCAGAACACACTCAAATTCTTGCTAAAGTTTGGACAAGTCTCTCCATATTTGGTACATCCTTTCTTCTGTTTTCTATTTGTAATTCTTTATTGTTGTTGTTGTTAACTTTAGTTCCTACGTACGAGCTCAAAAGCAAGTTTTCTTTTGGCAGAAGTAATCATGTAAGAGGTTGCTATATGCTCATGCCAATACATCAACAACCATGTACTTGACTTCCTGACTTGAATATGTTTTCACACTTTCTGGACTGCAGGGATACAATGCTCTTAAAGATTACTTTCCAACCATGCAAATGAAACCAAACCCTCAGTGTTCAAATGCAGCTTGTTTAGAACGGCAGGTAATGTGCCTACCTTGGTTTCACTGCAATTTATTTAATGAAATTTACCTGCTCCTGGTTGTTGTTTGTCTCTTGTCTGCTGAGAGAGAAATATTTATTACACAGAAGGAATACATTCTTGCAAAGCCAGCTAGGGATGCTGATGCTAAAGCAAAGGAGGCTGAAGCATCAAACTTGACAGAATGTCCAATTCATGCAGACAATGAGTGGAACATAAGGTTCTTTTTCTTTCATGCATATTAGTAAATCTCTATAAGAATAACGTGGATTCAATGAAGGGGCTGCTATAGTTCTGGAGGTTCATGATTGACAAGTTTTTCTTCTAAAAATCTTAAGTTACTGCCTACCTGTTTATTAATATGTGCTTGTGTTGTTTGTAACAGTGTTATTGATGATAGTGAGATAGAGAGGACAGATTTTCCCAGTAGTTCAGGTAATCTTCTCATTCTGTTGTTTTGTTGTACATTTTTATTTCTTTGCCTTGTTCATAATTCAATGTCTCTTGCTTGGGATTTTCTTGACTTGTGCCTGATGGGAGTAGTCTCATGATTGGTGTAACCTTACCAGAACACTAGGTGCTATTTCAGTACCCTTATCTTAGGAAAAGATAATGTTAGATTCATAGTTTTCAACTTTTCAAGGCACCAAGGCGAGGCTAGGCGACAAGGGGCCGCCTTGTCGCCTAGGCGGGTGCCTGGATTTTTTTAAGTGAAAAATACATATCCTAGGTAGTTCCCTAGGTTCCATAACCATCTTTCCTTAATAACTATCCATAATTTTCATAAGAAAATTATACACTTCATGTTTATGTCTAGAAAATCAATATATTTATGAGAAGAAAAATAAGAAAGAAAAGAAAATTCAATAAATATGGGGACTGAACCCCTATTTTTGTTATAGGAAAAGAAGAAAAGAAAAGGTGGAAGAAGAAGTGGAGGAAGAAATGTGTTGATTAGACAAAACTTTAAGTTTTTCCCTTATTGGTTCAAATTCTGAAGTCTTTGAGGGTTCAATACAGCAGTTAGCAATGTTTGTGTTGATTAACCCTAAAAAATAAGAAAATAATAAAAAGAAATTAGTTTATAAACACAAAAATGAATATTTTTGTTTAATAATGTCTATTTTATAATTATAATCTAAAAAAAGTAACAATATAAGAGTATTTTATAAGACAGTATACAAAACTGCTAGGCAACTGGGCGAGGCGAGCCTCCAAGGGCGCCTTGTCGCCTAGGCGTCGCCTTGACAACTATGGTTAGATTACTCAAGCTTCAGGATGATAAGCCACAAAAGAGGACTTCCAAGCCTAGATTATCAGGGCCATGCCTTTGTTAACTAACGTGAATGATTGGATTGTTCTTGTCTAAATTCTAAAATCCACTCTGTAGTGCTCAGTTGCACAGAAATGCCTTGATTTGCCTTGGTGTATGAAGAAGCTTGGAATCTGTTTGCAAAAAGTGGGTGAAGGTTAAGATAATGTGCTTGCCTCTTTTTTAGTCTCTTTACTATAGAGGGTGAAATCTGAAGTTAGGTGGTGTGTTGGTGCAGTGAGGATTGTACCTTTTTAGTCATCATCATTATCAATTCTCATGTTAAGTTCTATATTGTACTTTCAGGATCTAAGGATCACTCACCTATAACTTAAAGATTATAGCTTTTCTTTTTCCCATTTGGATCCTTACCTGAAGTTAGAACCTGGGCCATCCAAATGCTTGGAAAATGTGTACCAGATCGGTAAAACCTTGTTGGGATGAGGTTTCTCTTCTTTGATTGCTACATGGATAATGGGGCTTCCATTTCATTGGCTTGCACTCTTTAGTTTGGTGTGCCATTTTTTTTTGGTAGTACCTTGGACAGCCAATGGTGGGATGGTTGAAAGAATAAGAGAAGAACAGGCGTGAAAAGAAAGAGGAAATACTGGACAACTATCATAAGGCCCATACCCCATTCAAAAGTTTTACAAGAGAGTGCTCAATAATAAATGAGATTAAAGAATTATCCTTAGATAATATGCTAGCATTCCTACTCTATTAGTACAAAACACCTTTCAAAACTCCCCCTCAAGCTGGTGCATAGATATCCAACACGTCCAAATTTCTTTGGAACAACCTTTTCACAAATAAAACACCTATTGATTTCAATGTGTCTTGTTCTGTCATGCCAAACAGAAATGTTCTGTCACAAATTACTTCTAACTTTTTCAAATGACTAAATTATCATCATGTCACCAACAAAAGATCTGTGGCCTGAAGTAGACCTTCTATCAACTATTGGCCTTGCCTAGCTGAAATCTATGTAGTTCTCCACTTTCATATGCCCATTGTTCCAAAATAAAAATCCTCTTCTAGGAGTCTCCTTTAGATAGAGAAGTATGTTAGTATCTTAATTGAGATTTGGAGTTCTTGGAGAGTAAAACTAACCACTCTGATAGCATGTGCAATGCCTTGTTTGGTAAGAGATAAGCTGATTAGCTTCCCAAAAATGCTGGTACATACCCACATCTTCAACTTTATCACCATTAACATCATTTAGTTTCAAATTTAGCTCCTTAGGTGTGTCTGTAAATCTGAAGCCAAGTTTCCCAATCTCTTAAAAAGATAATCATAAATCCAGTGTTTAGCTTGTCTTACATTGCTGATCCCAAGCTCAGATATAGGAGGAAGGTTGTGCTAGGTTGGCAGCCAGCATTAGAATTTTTTGCCACGAACATGAATCCTGAATTGTCATTTTGTGAGCTAGGGGCAGGCCAAAAGCACATGGATTAGAGTAGCTAGAAATGATTTGAGGGTAAGGGCCATAAGGCTTAATTGAGTGCAGTATGTACAGTACAAAGTCAGTAGGTGAAGATTAAACTAGATAACCTGGTCCTGAAGAATCCAGTTAGATTGGCATTTGTGCCACTGACCTCTTTCTTCTAGTATATACCTGAAGCTTTCTCTATTTGTCAGGAGGCTCTAATGATAACATAGGAGATTCTAACATAGGAACCATAGAGACAAGAAACTGAAAAGATAAGCAAATCCTTTTGAGACTTTTTTTTTTTTTGGGGGGGGGGGGGTAAAGATTGCTTATTCTTCTCTTGTCAAGTGTAGAACAAAATTTCACTTGTTGATCATCCACAAGGTAATTAGTAGTTGAATTGTTGCAAGTTTTCTGTAGTATTTTCTTGCTTGAGAAGGGAAATAACTTGTGAAATAAAAGTATAAATTCTCAGCGTGATGTGTATCAAGCTAGGACAGGGTAAAAGGCCATTACCCAATGTTGGTTCCAGCTATCAGGGGTCTTGGGAGGGGTAGACTGGATACAGTCCCAACCTTTAGCAATTTTTTGCACGAAGCGGCTGTTCTCAGACTTGAACCTGCTTTCTCACGCTTGCCAACCAAAGATGTTACCATTACACCAAGTAATGGGCCTTGTTGAACTGGGACAAGGTAAAGCATAATAATAGAAGTATACTTGTGACTAAATTTTAGAACGTTAGATTACATTGCAAGACAGAAAAATGATACCCTCCCCTTCAATTCAATAGTAACGATATCTTAATTGGCATCAACAAGATTACATCAAATAGGTTCCTTGTGTCAGAATTCTTCTCAGCGGCGGTTCAGCCATATCCTCGGTGTCATACTTGGCCCACTCATTATGCATTGTGTCTCTGAACCTGTTTGTCTGATGTTCATTTTTCTTCTTTTTCCTTATTTTCATCCTTTTTTTTATGTGGCACATGCAATTGACCTATACCATGTCTTCTCTGCTTTCTTTCCCCTCTTGCAGATGCCTTGCCAGAAGGTCTTGTTCATGAGCTTCCAAGTGCAGTTGAGTTTCAAAAATTTCCAGAACCAGAAGAGATGAGCACCTCCATTGATGATCTTGAGGATCTCCGGAGACAACTGGATGCTCTTAATGCAAATTGACCATCCACCCCTGGGTTAACATCTTTCATCTTATCTACCACAGTTAATTCACTATATTTAACAAAGAAAATCAGAGGAATGGTGTTGCGGAACATTCGTGTTTTAGGGAGGTGATGCAGATCTCCAAAAGGTTAGCACTTAGAATGATGTCGAACCAACAATGAACACCACCTTGTTAGTGTTTACCGCTTACTTTTGGGAGTTTAGGGTGGTCGTGCTTTGCGTGGCCATGCTTTTAGTGACGGATGTTACAACTGTTTTTGAGTTTTGCCAATTGGCCAGTGGTCAGATCTAATAGGTTTTCAACACAAGATGCAACTTAAGATAATGAATGGCGGATTTCTTATCTTTTATAGCTTTCTGACAGATTGATTACCTTTGCATGCCACTAAACCGGAGACATGATCAGGGAGTTGATGGACCCAGTTAGGTGATCAGTTGCACCAACAGTTAGCCTAATCTACTATTTTGCACGGCTTTTCCTTTAAATACCAAGAATTAGCTTTCCTTGACCATAAATTGTCATGGCAATAACTGTTAATTACGTAATCAATGAGTAACAAAAAGAGCTACATGTCCAAGCCAAGGAGATCAGCTCTTGTGTGAGACCAAACCATCAGACTGGAAGCAGGTCGGTAGCCGGTACCGGTAGATATCGTGGCTATTTGAAATTACATATCCGGTAAGGCCGTACTATTCTATTCTTTTATAATCACATTGTCGAAATCATTGCTCAACACGAAGCAACTCTAAATTTATAAATAGTAAGACCGATGGCTGGTTTCCGTAAGTGGGCCGTTGATACAGCTTTCTGTGTGGATCATAGGTTCTTCTAGCCAGCTAATAGGAGCTCCAAGAGACCGGATCCTGGCTGAGGTGTCTCACATCTGAGTGCCAAAACCAATATAATATTCTCTTTTTGGGGTTCGGGTTTAATTGACTGTATGCCTATGCTCTAAGTAACCCACTATAAAGTATAAACAGTTAAACACTTCCCGTGGAAATTTGAAAAGGAAGAGAAGGTCCTGTCAGTGTTACGTGATATCTCCGCAAGACTTGCCTTGGAGAATATCAATACTACACACTCCCTGGCTTCGTTGTTTTCAACGCCATTTAACTCATCCAAGGGATATACTGTAGGTGTTTATCTGATTTTCTCTCAGGATCGGGAATCAGTACAGGATATATTGTGTTTGTGTTTGAAATCTTGTCGCGCTTTGAAACAGATTAAAACTAGCGCTAGAACGAGAACGAACGATCATGACAGTCGTTTTGAAAACCTCCCTTGTAGTTTTGAAATCCTGCAGGTTTTTTCAAAACTACATGGTGTGGTGGTGCGGTACTGGTGCCTTTACAATCAAAACTAGCTTGAATGAACGATTATGATTCATGACAGTCGTTGAGTCAATGATTCAGCCCTTCTGATGAGTGGCATCTCATTGCTTATATATATTGTGTTTGTCCTGCTGGGAGAAGTGTACAGAGTATAGTTTTGGTGGCTCAACCAAGACTTTTAAAGTTTGGTCAGTCTAGCAGTTATTTCGCCCCAACCTACGTTAATACGATGGGGATCTCTCACTGTGTACTGTCAACTGTGTAGTGTACCAGACAAGACAAGTTAGCTGTTCTCCCGCTAACATGATTTTTGTTTTTTTTTTTTAAATCTTCAGAGTTCAGAGTTCTTGCCCCTCCCCTCTCTGTCGTCGCACCTACGAGCCCAGCCCCGTCGAATTGGACCGTTGGTCTCCCTCTCCCACATTCAACTTAACTCAACTAATAAATGAGATCCCGTTCGAACAGCCTTTACGGTCTTGAATCGGGAACATTTCCGTACTTCTATCCTTTATTCCATGGGAAAATAGTACCAATGGTTGTTTGAAAGAGCAAGGACATCTCTTGTTCCAACAAAGATAAATTAATTACCAGACAATCTTGATCATCCATTTAATTCGGATATATTGTGGCACAGCTGGACTCCCTTTTCTCGGATCGTTTTTCTGAATTTTTGAGGACGCATGAGTTTCATAAGATAGGTCTAATTTCGGAATAGGGCCCCACGAAAAACAGACGGTCCGATCATGGGTGCTAGGTGCATGCAATTGATGGTCATCATGAGTGGAGAGTTGCATCGCTTTCGCCTTGGCCCCCCGGCCCCACATAATAAATAGCTACTGGGTTCAGTTGGGCACTTGGGCAGGGGCAGTTAATGTGAAATGTGAACTTCTTTAAATTTAGAAGTTATGGTACTGACAGTAATGGTTGTGGTGGTTGCTCTCAACTTTTCCTTTTGAACCTGCTTCAACAATCCCGGGAAAAGAGAGATGGGTTCATAAAAAATTACACTCCAACTGCCAGTAAAGCCCGCTGCGACTCCCCCTGTTTCTCCTCTTCTGAATGCCCTGCTATGATTATGAAGCAGACGGTAATGGTTTATGGGATGGACTTGATTAAACCGCCCCAGTTGTCTGTATGTTTGATGACGGTGCTAATTCTTTTGCGCTCCGCTGAATCAGCGGTTTATATTCGCTTCCATCGAGTTCCACCTGCTCGCTCGAGGTTCGCTACGGCTGTTTTCAGCTACTCGATCACAGGTTCTGATGGGTCTGCTGGATGTAACAAGAATCGTGGATGTTCCATTTATTGTGAGGTACTTTTTCTTCTTCTTCTTCTTCTTCAGATAGTGGTGGTGGTGGTGGCCAAGTAAGTGGTAATGTGGGTGATTGATTAATTTTCTCTAATCAGTAACTGAAACTGAAACTCCATGTACTCGGTTATGTGGGTGAATGTTTGGCTTTCTATGGAATTTAGGAGATCCAAAGTAGTTGTACAAGTTTTGAACTACGATTGGCAAACACCACTAGCACCGCATTCGGCTACTCTTTTTACTGAAACTCCTGTTTGCGTCCAAAAGGTAGGAGGGAGAAGCTAAGATGATATACAATGTTATTGTTTTCCCCCCAAAGCTTGTACGTGATTTATTTTCAAAGATTAAAGTTGAAGATCATACCCTTCCGGCATCAATCCACTTTTAGTTTTAGACATCTTATCTCAGGTGCAGATGTTGAAAGTTCAAACCCAGATCGCACGTCGAGTCTGTCCCTCCGTGGTTTGGTCCAACCCGGTCGACAACGGAGCTCGGCGGTTTCGCAAAAAAAAATCTGGTTCAGAGATAGCATGAGAGTTGATTGGTTCAACCGCTCCATTTCTTTGTTTTCAGTGAACTGAATGACGGGTGGTTAGCTGTTATCCTGGAATTTGGATATGCTCCTAACTGAGCGCGCCTCACACCGACCTCATATCTTGCAAGCAAAAACTCTGCGCACATAACATCCAGCGGTACATTACATTGTAAATATCTCCCGTACAATGTATGTTAAATTGATAGAGATGTTCCTAATGATCTTATATAGTGTGTGCAGAGTTTTTGTTTGCAGGTAATGTTCATACTTGTCTTTGGCTTCATAAGAAAAACTTCATTCATTTTCATCTCTCTCTCTCCCTCTCTGTTTCTCTACCCAATCTCAAGGCAACAAACAAATTACTTAGGACCGCACCCCTAAGCAAGAATGGTAGAGAGATCATGTGAGCCCAACTGATGTGCACATCAGGGTTAGAGTATCTAAACAGACAGGCCAAGTAATTTGATGTATTCATTCATTCAGTTTTCTTTCCCCAACAAATTAAAAAGTTTGACTTTCCTACATGTTCATGGATCCAAAGTAAACACTAACTATACCATTTACATTTTGAACAGCTTGATGGGCAAACTCTAGCACCATGCCCAGTTAATTCTATAACATTGAAAAACTTAACTGAAAATCAAGATCACCATTTCCTTCTTAACGTCACAGCCTCCAATGGAGAGAGAAACTCGTCTTCCTACAAATGGTTCATTGGTACGTTTCCCTCTGATTTGTCCTCGTATCTCTGTGACAGTGGCTTTGCAAACCTCAACAACATAAGTGTAATCTAATTTGGTTCTGTTTATCATCATGAACCTCTTACTAGATACAATACCTCCAACTGCATCCATCATTACTGAAAAGAGTTACACAAATGCTGAAACCATAGCTATCAATGTTACATTTACCGAGGCTTGCACCGGACTGGGTGGCTTCAAGTGTATGAACTCATCGACTTGTGATGTAAGTTCTAAGTTCAGTTCTCTCTCTCTCTCTCTCTGTTATTGGTTTTTTTTTTTCTTCTATCATTTTCATCTCTACCTTTAATAGAATAATGGATCAATAATAGATTCTGAAGCTTTTGTTGATAAATGATAAAACCCACTCTGTTTTGAAGGTCATGGTAAATGGGCCAGCTGGCGTGGATGCATCTTCACTACGAGTGATTGAACACAATGTCAAGTATAGCCTTGTTATTGCTCTCTCACTCAAAAGCACATATGGGCGCGTGTTTATTAAAATGGCAGATAAGTTCTGTACAGACCCCGCTGGGAATCAGTTTGTGAGGTCAAATGGTTCAGTTGTTGTTGTTCACTTTGGTAATCATATTTCTTTAACTCCCTAAAATCCATACATCATTTCTCATCTCCCTCTCATTTTGTTTAATATCTCTTTCAATTGTCTTAGATAGAAGGCCTGTAGGGGCAGAAGTATGGACATCTGTTCCGTCCTATGAATTGGAGCTTGGTGGGGTCCTACGAACTGTAATTGCAACTAACAGAGCAGAGGACTTGGAGATCTTCTTGGATTTTAGTGATTGCATTGTTAACTCAACAGAAGAAATACTACATGTATTACATTCAAATTCCGGCAGCTTCGTACCAATTCATAGCAAGAGCCATGGGAACCGCCAATTTATTTACAAAGTAAGTTTGTGTGTCCTTGGTTTGCTTGTTAGGACAAGATATGTAAGAACTGAAAACAAGTAGGAAGATAGTTATTGCCATTTTGTTCCATTTTGTAGCTCCAAAATATCTCGAGGACTGAGATAATCACAGTAAAACTTAATTCTGCTGCATTAATTGGGCGATCAGGAAGTCCTGTCTCTCCTGTCACACCTGTTGCATTCCTTTATGGTACGCCCTTCACTCTCACTGTTTTTGTGATTCCCGAGTTGGTTCTAAGGGATTCATTCCCAACTCGATTAGGAAGCTAATGGACGGAAATTTCTTTTTCTTCCTCAGATGCTACAGAGCCTGTTGTCAGATTAAGCACAGGATCCCCAAGAGTTACAAAGAAGTCAAACATCGATGTAATAGCTGAATTTACAAAACCAGTCTTTAACTTTGAGGCCTCGGCAGTAGAGGTTAGAGGGGGGAAACTGACAAGGCAGGTGCATATGGTCGCACTCAAAACCATTTAAATCGTATTTCAAGAATCATTTGTACGCTGAAAACAAGCAAAACAGATGAAATCAGAATGCCAGTATTAGAATTTAGACATATAGACATCTAATCTAGCGACTGTTTTTTGTTTTTTTTTTTCTTGCAGAAATGTAACAAATTTCTATTCCTGAAAACAATAGCTCCCTTGATATAAATAGTTATTGGTTTCTCATCTTTTCCTTTTTTTTTTCAGCTTTAAAGAAATTTCAAAAGCTCTGTACTCTTTAAGTATCTTAGCTACATCCCCAAATGTGGTCTCAGTTTTCGTTCCAGAAGGCAAAGCAAAAGATATCACCGGCAATCTAAACGTGGCCTCTAACCGACTTGAAGTCAGGCACTGTAAGATTATTTCACCTTATTATACAGTAATTATGATGATTCCTCATGCATGCCTCAAATTACTGTGTTCTCCATCCTTCTGGTGTCTGTTTATTTCATCATCTTTCTGGTGTCTTTTTGTATATGTTTTTATTTATCATTTCTGATTCTCAACTCTGCACATAGATACGACACCTGCAATATCCGTTGCACTCCATTCATTTGTAACCGCTGGACTACTAACAACATCACTAGCAGCTTGTTTGCTTTCACTTGCTTCTGCAAATCTGGGAGCAATAGGTGCTTTGAATAGTGGGACCACCACTTTCATTGTTTCAGATCCATCGATGAATCTTCTGGTAAGTTATACATTAAGCTTTGTAGGGTTTAAGGTCTGTATAGTTATTTTGATACATTAAGCTTTGTAGGGTTTAAGGTCTGTATAGTTATTTTGTGTTATGAATACGTTAGGATCCCAGAAAAATAATTAGCAGCCAAAATATTTGTAAGAAAAAAATACTAACCGGCAAAGGTATTGTTTTTATTATGTTTTCTAATATTTGATTACAACTTGGAAACAAACTTAGAAATGGAGTTTTTTCAGATGAGAGTGATATAAGGAGGCAGTTATACAGCAGAGTCCAGTATCACTATAATTATTTTACCGCATTTTACAGCAGACCAACATTAGAAAACTGATATTCTTCTAATATAATTATTTTGCAACATATTTCACATCTATCCAAACACAGCCCATGTCTTGCCTCTTCTAATTTTCTTCTGCAAATGCATACTTTAGCTCCATATCAGTTGTTTTTAGAAGTTTATTGTCTGTTCAGACCCTCCACCCTACATGAATCATGATTCACCAATCCATTCTATATGGCCTGCAAACAGTTTTGATCTCTTTACTTCATAATTCTGCTCTAGTGTCTTCAAATGTCTTCCATTGCATTTGCAGGGAATGGTGGGACACCTACAAATATTTGTGTTCTCAGACTGGCTCTCCTTTAGCCTGCCAATAGAATACTCTGAAACAACAAAAGGTCTGAGGTGGCTTATTCCTCGTGAAAAGCTTCCCTGGGTCAAGAATAGCAAGTCAATTTGGCCCAGTTATGATTCTACATCTGAAGATCTTAACAAGCTTCCAATGAAGTACAGAGGCATGCCTGAAGGACCCACTCTGCATGAAAGAAGAGCTCACAACTCAACTATGTTGAATTCTGGCAACTTTTCTTCATATTTGCAACATGGATTGGCATTAGCACCTGGAATAGTTCCGGAGGCTGGTGGATTCCACAGTCAACTGAACGAAAGCAAGAAAAGTGCTTTCTATGGTCTACCTCTTAGTACTGATGAATATTTTGTTTATTTCTTGGTAAGTTTAGAGTCAATGAAAAAAAAATTCCACGTCTAAACTGTTGCCATGGCTTTTTTTTATACAACTGTTGTCATGGCTTTGAATATAGTTGCTGCATTCTTGCAGAAAGGAGAACCAACATCTGCAGTTAATGTCATCAATGAAATCGAGATATATACAGGGTAAAACTCTCTCTCTCTCTCTCTCTCTCTCCAGGACTTCTAGCACAACATTCTGTCTTTTCTAGCACATAGATGGAGAATATAATGAATTAAGAGATCACCAAATAAGAATGGGATTAAAATGCCATTTAATTTAATCCACATCTTATAAAACAAGAAATATTATACAACTAGGATCTTGAACTAAACATGCAGGAAGCAACAGATGCTCGGATTTGTGGTCCTTCCATGTATGTGTCCATGCATATTCAAAATAAAAATAAGAATCTAATGCTCGGATTCTGTTATCAACAGATGGCAAGATTTAGAGATGAACTTGTTTTGGCTTGGAGTGGGTGGTGGTGGTTTAGTTGTAGCCCACTTCCTTGTTCTTCTTTTTCTGAGATGGAGAACTGGAACATCTGTTCATGGAATACTCTCGGCTCCGAGGTTTGAGCTCTTTCTTCTGATTCTCATGCTACCTTGCATCTCCCAATCATCAGCCTTTGCTATCAGAGGTAAGGAAACAAAATTTATTTTCAATTTGGTCAACCATATTTCAGAAGATTTTGTGAACTCAGTCAGATATAATGTTGGCTGCACAGGTGGTACAACTGGGGGAATCATTACAGGGGCTTTACTGTTAGCCATCCCAGCTGCTCTTATATTATCAGTATGTTTATTCCTTGTAGTCGCAATATTCATGGGCAATTTTGTTCAATACAAAGAAGTAAAGCACAGAGATGCGAGCAAGCCATGGTATGCCAAGGTGCTAATTTTCCTCGGTGGAAGGCCTGTTACAGGGAAGTGGTTTCACTTGGAAACTGTGCCTTCATCTTTCCTCCCGAGATTTGGTTTTCTGTTTGAGGATCGAAAGGGTCCCCCAGTGTTTGTATTACTTAATGTGAATGACCCAAATAGCATGCCCAAGTGGGTTGACAGTGGCCAAAGCGGAATTGGGAGAATGAGGGCCATTAACTCAGATGACAGCAATGAAGAAATTAATACTTCAACATCAGAGAGAATCTTAGGTTGTGCCAGGTCAGCCTATATCATTTTTGATCTTCTAAGAAGGGTCAGTGTGGGCATAATCTCTGGTGCCTACTCAACAAGGGGACCAAGCCGAAGCGTTATAGCCTTAGCAATCACACTGCTGCAATTCGTTTACCTGGTTACTCTCAAACCATATATTAGGAGGGGTGTTCATGTAGTGGAGAGTGTTTCTCTCTTATGTGAGATAGGGGTTTTTGGGTTGTCTACCTATATAGATCACCTGAATCTGGTTGAAGAGACAAGGACTACGGGCTTTATCATGCTGGCTTTCCTGTTCATTAGCTTTGTTTCTCAGCTCGTGAATGAGTGGCATGCTCTAATAAAATGTCTTCTGCAAATCCCCCAATCAAGAAAGCCTTCTTTCAAGCTTGGTTTGAGATGCATTGCAAAGGGTCTTATCCTGCCTTTCCTGCCAAGGAAGCATTGGTCTAGACTTGTACCAGGATCCTCCCAACCCAAAACAGGCCTAGTTACAGTCCTTCCTCTAAGTCCAGAGAGACAATCGGAAAGAGGTGATGGCAGAATGCCAGTCGTTAACCCATTAGGTGCCATGAGTGCTACAGTAGTCCCTGTGTTAAGTCCAAGTTCACCTGGCCTTACTAATATTCAAGCAACAAGCACAGTGACTGCACCATCACATATCGAGAAGAAATCAGGTGAAGGGAAGCACTTAAAGGGGCTTAAATTGGAATCAAAGGGTGAAATGAAGAAGCTAAGAGCATTGGCAAAGGCTAGTTTTTCAGGGGGTCCAAAAGGTGGAGAGAGTAGCAGTAGTAGCTACGCTCTAAGAGGGAAAAGCGTTCCAGATGGGGCATCCTACATAAGTTCTCGAGCTTCATCTCCAGATAGTAGACACTGAAACTACAGATTTATTAGGCTATAGAAATGAAAATGCATTGGAGTTCATTCTTCCTAGTTCAGTGTACATATTTTCAGGTTTTATCCCAATAGTTTACAGTTCTGTTATATATCAAAAAATAGCTCACAGTTCTGTTACAAACCTAATGTCTGGGGAACACCAAAGCTTCGGAATTAATTATTTTGCTTTCCTCGAGGAAAGTAGCTATTTCCGAGGAATTAAAAGATTGAAAATTAGCTAAATTTCAAGCATCCTACATAGATGATCTTGTTGCATATAAAATTCCCTTGAATGACAAACAATAAAAAGTACAGAGAGAAGATGGAAGTAAAGACGGCCAAAGTTGGGACCAACTCGGATGATGGGGTCTTGCGGTTCGGATGCCCTGCTTTTACGAAATGGTAACAAGTTACAGACGATGAAATGGTGAACCATAAGGACATTTGTTAACCCTGATTGATAACCATCACGAAAAGAGAAATGTTCAGTGAAAACACTATCCATTACCAGCTTCGGTGTTAGGGATGAAAGCAAAGTAACTGAAGAAGACAGTTCAGCATCGAAGAACTTACAAATGCCTGGCGACAGAGCGAAATTGTCTGAAGAGAATTAGATGGTCCTCGGACAACGTCAGTGATGAAAAGTGGCATGGGAGGACTGAGGAGCCAGAGGCGGCTGGCCGGAACCGGATCGAAATCGAATGAAAGCATAATCAGGAGAGAAAATCATTTCGGAGGACAATAGAGGATTCGGAGATGGAAGGAAGTTTTGGTGCCATTAGAAGTGGAGAGGGTTTGAATGGCGTTCAGGAGAGAGCAGAGCAGAGCGGGCCTCTTTCAAGTAGAACCTAGAGCTAGAGGAGAAGGGTTGATTCGGGCTGGAATCCGATATATCTGTGTTTCGGGCTGTGGGACCAATTATAATGCATTAATCCCCTACGCTACGGGGGACCATAAGTTGTGGGCAGACGAGGGCATTATGATTGGTCCCACAGCCGGAAACACAGTTTTAAGTCAAGCTAATCCGTTGCATGATGGAGAATTGGACTATCCGAAGTACAGAGCGAACAACTGAACAAGTGCAGCAGATCCGGACTCGGCTGAAGCTAAAGTAGGGCTGCAAACGGATCCGATCCTTATCCATAGGATTCGAATCAAATTGGGACTGCAATCAAATATTAAATGCTATTAATAAATTAAACTAAAAATTATTAAAATATTATATATTATTAAAAAAATAAATTAAAATTGGCTATAATATTGTATTTCTTTAACAAAATAAATCTGAAAATAACTTGTATGAAAGTTAAAACTATGATAGATTAACAAAAATACAACAATTAAATCAAATTTAATGATACACACTATAAATTTTTAAGTATTTATGAACATATATATTTAAATTGAATAGAATCAGATATTATCGAATTGGACAGGGGTGGATTCATATTCGATCCAATTATAATCAGATCAAATTCGAATCACCTTTTAATGGGATCGAAATTTGAATTTGGAAAATGGGACACCGTTTTCAACCTTATGCTATCAAACTGCTTAGTCTACTTGGCATTATTCAATCTAAGTCAAGCTCTTACTCTCAAGTCATGGATCATCAACATCAAGTTTCATCTCTCCTACCAAGTCATACACTTACACTACAATACAATACGACACCTTATATTGGGATACAATAAGATGTGTATCCTTTTAATCATATGCATTGGTCCAATATGCCACCTTATACAATACACGCTAATATAAAAGCGTATTGAACAAATATTTTTAATTTTTATTAACTTTAATGTGTATATACAATTAAATAAATAACGTATATTTATATTCAATAACTCCAACTACAAATTAAAAAGAATAATATTCAAAATTAGTATTTCAAAAGCTAATAGAATAAATAATTTATTAAACCACACGTATATCAACACATGATTTGTAATCTCAAGAAATGTATACATTATTTTAATAATAAAATCATTATTTTACTATTTAAGTTTTTTAAATTTGCACATAATATGTATCTTTAAATTTTTAATATATTTTAAGATAATATTATATATTTTTTGAAAATTATTAATTGATATTTCAATTTGCATTTTATAATAATATATTTGTTGTTTACAAAAAATTATTGTTTACCAAACATTTGAGAATTAGGGCCCATTTGGTTTGCAAGAATAGGGATCTAGAATCGGAATCGGAATGGTTCAACTATTTGGTTGGATAGAAACAAATCCCATTCCCATTCTTGGTGGAATGGCATTCCCCCCATGAGGGAACGATCATTCCCTCCCCCTCCCATGGGAATGAGAATCCATTCAAACCAATTCTGGTTTTGATTCCGATTCCAAACTGAACCAAACAGGTGAAGGGAATAGACCATTCCGATTCCTATTATGAACCAAACAGACCTTTAATCTTTTTTAATTGACCTTTTTGTTTATGTTAAAAATTAAAAATAGTAAAATATAAAAGATTGATATGATAATTCAAATATAATAGTTGCATATACTTTGTGCATGTATTAACTTGTAAAAATATATATAATATGTACATTAAACTCTTGATCAATGTATCATCAATAAAATTCTATGATATCTATGCACTTAAAATATATATTTACTATGTATTTATACATTACTTGTGGTTATTTTGACATTAAATTTAATGTTATTAATATATTTATGGAATTTGTATGCATTTTCTCTGATGCTTCCAAGCATTTTTACATTTTTTGTTTATATCAATATGTTTTCAAAGCTTCTTTGTATCCCTATCTGAGTTGTTTGATACAATACCCAATAATAACACTTGATCCTTGCATATATCTAATACAATTTTTGAATTAAGATTAGGTTTTTTTCTTAATCTTTAGCAATTTATAGATCTGTTGGTGAAATTATCATGTAATACCTATACCCATTATGTTGATTGTTATGTATTAACTCATAAACTATCAAAGCATGTATTTCTTATATTCTTATACCATTTCTATAGACTTAAAATTAGTGTTATTCATGTGTTCTTTAGATTTATTTGAACTTCCAAATGTCATATCCATTTGTATCTTTTTGCATCATATCTAGGGGTGGCAATTTTTCACCCAACCCGTCCATTTAAATGGGTTGGGTTGGGGATAACCATTGGGTTAACCATTACAGACATAAGTATTAATTTCTTAGCTTTTTTTTTAATTTTTTTCATCTGAATTAAATAATTTATAATTAATGCATTAATTTTCTATTAACTATCGACTAAATTTAGTTTTGTCTTGAATCAACACACTTCACCCAACATAAATCCAAATCAATTTGACCCGAGCCCAAACCAATTCAACTTGGTTTGACCTGATCTAGTATATACCGATCTAGGTCGATCCGAATCCGAAATAGACTCCAAGCGGGATGGTTCGATACCGCTTGATGTGCCCAATTTGGGTTGTCTAGCCCAACCAGTATTCGTACAACCCAACCCAACCCAACACGAGCCGATCTAGGTTGACCCGAATCCAAAATGATTTTGGGCGGGGTGACCCAGTGTCCACATGCTTTGGCCGGTCTGGGCCATCCGATCCACACAACCTGACACGAATCCGGACGGACCCGATTTACTTGCGTTGACCCGCTTTGGGTCAATCGATTCGATCCCAAACCTGTGCACAAACCTAACATGGTCCTGTCCAAGTCAATCCACCATTGATTAATCCAATTCGGTCTAACCGAACTTATCCAAATCTAAATGATTCAACCACTCTTAATGTGATTAACTCAAAGATAATCCAATTAGATAGTTCAAGTTGGTCTAACCGATTTGAACCTAAGTGGTTTGATCAAACCCGAAATCCGAACATAGTCAAATGGCTTCGCCACTTGTGTAAAAACAACAAGCATGTAATGTGATTTGAACCTTTACCACTTGTGTAAATAGTAACTACAATTACCACCAAGCTACGACCAACTTATTTGTTAAGAGAATTTTTCTTTTAATTCCATAAATATAAGATTAATGGATTTAGACAGGTTGGATTGGGTTAAGCGGGTTTGGGTTGAACCCAACTCATTTAGTTTTATATAACTAGGTCATTAATGGGTTGGTGGGTTAGATGGATTGGGTTGACCCAACCAAATCCACCCAATTGCCACCGCTTATCATATACATGTCTTCAAAGCATATTCCAATGCATCTTTTCAATTTGCCTTTCAAATACTCTTTGTAACACCAATGATTTAAACTTTTATTAGAATACTATAGCTTCGTTGTGGTTGAGAATCATCTCATTACTTTTTTTCTTTTTTTTTTTTTTTTGCAAAAGAAAGAGATCTTCATTAATTGATCGTAGAGAAAGTTACATGAGAAGATCGTCTAGTCATATTGGATACATAACTGCCCCATGCATGACATGTAAGCAAAAAGATGGCTGATCAATCTGTATTTACAAGGTCTATTAGGTCTGCATTATCAGAAAAAACTAGAAGATGCCTGATATTGTTGGAGATTGCGGCTTTCAGGCCCATTAAAAGGGCTCGTATTTTGGCATCATAACTGTTGATGGCCCAACATGAGCCTCCTGCAATTTGGAAGCCCTCAGTGGTGTTTTTGATGATGAATCCTCGTCCTACACTTCCTGTAACTGGATTAAAAGAGCCATCAATAACCATGGAGGGGATGAATGAGTTGAGTAGTGTGCATGATGAGGGGAGAGGTGAGATTGAGATCTGATGCAAGGTGATGCATTTTGCAAACAGTGCTGGAAAGCCTTTTGCACTACCATTAGTGGCTCAGTGGTGGTGCTCTTGAAGAGTAACTTGTTATGTGCTCTCTAAATGAAGTAGGTGATCATGCTAAACTTGCTTAGACATGATAAGGCTTATTTTTTACCAAATTGATTTTTTATTGCAATGTACCATTCTGATATGATGATGTGAGCCGGTTGGGTTGTAAGTGAACCGGGGTCGAATCTAATTTGAGAGTTCCACCAAACCGCTCTTGCATAGTGACATTGGAAGAATAAGTGGAAGACTGTCTTCCCTCTCCTTACAGAAACTACATAGCTGATCTGGGCTTCTCAACCACTTATGACATTTATCCTTCATGAGCAGTCCGTCCCATAATAATTTCCAAAGAAACAACTGGAAACGATGGGGAACCTTGAGTTTCCATAATATTTTCCAATTGAAATGAGTGGTTGAGGTTGAACTTTCTGCATAGCCATATAGTTGGTATGCTGATTTAACTGTGAAGACTCCAGAGTTGTTATTCTTCCATAGAAGTAGATCCTCAAATTGATTGGGCTGGGGTGTAATATTCTGCATGTGGGCAATGACATCCTCGTCAAAAAGCTCTTGAAACTTTGTGCGATTCCAACTGTGGTCTGGGTTTAGCAATTCTTCTACTTTGATATGTAACATCGGAATTTGCATCGGATGATGTGGCAACATGGGGAATGTGACCAGGTATGGATGGGAAGAAAGGATCAGCTACAGCAGAAATATTGGAACCATCCTTGATAATCCATAGCAGGTTGGACTTCATGATGTGAGAAAGTCGATCTCATTACGTTATTCAATATGGGATATCTCCTAAGAGGGACTTTGGTATCATGGTATTAAAATTCCATTTGCAATCTTACCAAGAAAAAAAGTTTTGATGAGGGCAGATTTGGCCCTCCAGTGAAATTGAGACACGTGGCACCTCGTGACAACTAGGCAAGCCCCCAGGCAACAACTTACCAAGTTGGTCCCCCCCCCCGGGCACCGGTCTGGCTGGCCTGGCGCGATCTGGCGCGGCCT